TATCCCGCATTCGGTCCCTGGCCAGGAGCGCTTTCCTTCACCTGCGTCACATTGCCCACCTCTTACTGTAGCTCATACCAAATACAGCCAAGACCCTTGTCCACTCTTTCATCACCTCATCTCCTCTTGATTATTCCAATGCCCTCCTCGCTGGTCTCCCCAGTTCCATTACCCACAAAATCCAGGCCTCCACCACTCGTATACTCACTCACTCTAAACTCTGTACCCCCTCAGACCAGTCTTCGGCAGGCTTCATTGGCTCTCTATCACAAATTGTATTGACTTCAAGATCCTCACACTCGTCTACAAATTTCTTTACCCATGGCACCTCCCTACCTTTCTGACCTACTTAATCCCCACTCCCCTGCCTCCACTCGCTGGCTCCGGGCTCCAGCTTGTCCCTCATCCCCTCCGTTACACCACTGATGGCTGGAACTTTGGAACTCTGTCCCTCAATCTGTCTGCCTTTTCCCCTCGTTCCCCTTTTTCAGATCATGTCTGACGTCCTTCCTCTTTCACCGTGCTTACAGTCGCCTTCTCCTTCCCTGTGGCTCGGCATCAGGCTCCGCCACTGTTTAGTGCTCCGAGACGCTACACTGCGTGAAGGGCCATATACAAATGCAAGTTATTGTTGATGTGTTGGATTTTTATCCACGAGTCATGATCTGGGCCAGTAGAAAAGTGCGGAAATATTTGCCAAACGTTGCAGGGGGATTTGAAAATTCTGCAGGGGGTTGGTTTGTGCTATTGAGGTCAACCTACATTTTTTTTCACTATTGATAAAAACTAAACATGAAGAAATAACACATTAGATTGTTGCAAAAAAAAATTAATTGCTTCTTTAACAAAAATTGGGTGGCCCATTTTCTTTGGGGGAGGGGAGACAGATACCAGCGAGGCTACAGGAGCTCACCCCCTCCTACCTCTCAGGGCCTGGTACCACACAAAAACCCAGAGAGAGAGAGACACATACACTCACTCACTCAGACATACACACACGAGCACACATTCACAGACACAGAATGACACAGACTCACAGACAGAGACACACATTCTCAGAAAGAGATACACATTCACACAAAGACACTCATAAACACACATACTCACAAATGCATACATACTTTACTTTACAGTGTGTTCTGTGAAGCGCTTTGGGACGTCCTCCCGACGTGAAAAGCGCTATATCAAATGCAAGGATTATTATTATTATTATTATACAGAGGAGAGATACACTCACAAACACAAAGATACTCAGACACTCACAAACACACAGAGACATATAGACACTCACAAACACAGAGAGACACACAGACACTCAAACACAGAGACACACTCACATAGACACTCACAAACAGAGACGCACACTCACAAACAGAGACGCACACTCACAAACAGAGACACACTTACATAGAGACAATCACAAACACAGAGACACTCAAAGAGAGAGAGATACACAGACACTCACAAACACAGAGAGACATTCACAAACCCAGAGAGAGAAACACACAGACACACTGGCAATCACAACAGCGGGGCCTCCGAGTGAAGCCCATTTGCCGCTTTTGCTTCACTGCGCATCCGGAGCTGCCCTGCCCGCCGTGACATCAGGTACACAGCGTTGAAACTACATTCGTTGTGGGTTTGTAGCGGCGTGGAGGGCGTTTGTAGCTGATTCCGCAGAAAAAGTGCAGCCGCACTTTTCTATTGGCCCAGGTCATGATCCAAGGGAGCTAAAATGAGCAACAAGGACATCAGAACGAACATAAGCACCAACATGTCATTTGATTCAATAGTTGGAAAATAAAGACTGAGATAAGACTTACGTTTCAGTGAGGAAACCTAGTTGGGGATGAACTAAGTAAAGGTGCAAGCGCAGATCGTCCAGATAGGAGATGCCACAAATCATGAAGGACAAAGTGGGATGGAGATTGGGTGAGGAAGGTGCAGTCTACGAGATAGCAGTGTGATGTGAAACATTAGTGCATTTACACATTGTTGGTAAGGGGAAGAAAGCACAGTTGGAGGGCAGTCATAGTTTATAGCATAAGAGGAATCTAACAGATCCCTCCCTCTTATGTGTGGAATAATGGTGACCTTTGTGGTAACCCCATTTTCCGTGGTAACTGCATGGAAAATGCACTGTTGCAATAGCAAACCCTGCAGTGGCAGTATAGTTATAATGGGATTTTCATATGTGGATACAGAAATTTTCCAAAAAGCTTCTCAGTCGGAACGCTTCCATTGCTGCAAGAAAATATTTGTGGAGCTGACATTATCGAATGCAATGTAAGAAAATTATCTGAAATTCATAATTTCCCTATACCATTAGTTAACTGTATGTTAGGTAGGGATGTGTGTGTCAAGGAATCCATCGAATATATAAAAGAATACGTCAATGATCGTCTTTCAAAAGGAAACAATCATCCTTAAATTGAAAGTTTTGGCTTATTTTTTGAGGACCTCAAGGTTTTAGGAATTAAATGTTCTATTCCAGTAATGTTAGACATTCATAAGAAAGCACTTCAAACACAGTAGTTTGAATTCACGATTAGGTGCTGAAGTGTGTGATATCCAGTGGGAAATCTTATACTTTTTATTTTTGGAACCCATACAAGAAGCTGTTGTAGAAAAAAAACTATGGGAGTGCTTCCTTGTTAGGGTGTTGTACAGGATTAAAAAAAGTTGTTGCAGTGGGTCACTGATAAGAAAAATATACGTCATAGAGAGGAGGGACGGATGTACTGCCTTCAACGAAATGCAGAAACATTTTTGTATATAGAACATTGCCAAATAAAAGCTTTTGCTTTGATTTTCTAGTTTAAAAGGTGTGATTCCTGTGTTGTACCTGTCTGGTTTTCGTAATATATAATGTAATTTAAAGTACCTGAAATTGGTGTGTATTTGGAGGTAGTTTGTGAAACAGACCTGGAGCGGTTTGTACTTCCCAGTACTGTGAGCACACAACTGAATATCTACTGGAGTAGTGTTCATTTTGAGCCCTGTGCAAACTTCTTTAAAAGCTTTGCTAAGTGGATTCATAACTAGCGGCCTTCTAAATTCATGTTGTGCCACTGATAACACAAAACAATTTGAGGTTTTGTACTTTAGAACCAGCTTGAGGAATTGTGTAATGTTATGACAGTTGGTTCTATTTTTAGTTTATAAATGAATGCAGTAATTGCTGTGACTCACTGTTTGCAGGCTTGAAATGCTGGTGCAAAATTGGTCACTGCAACTATGTGAATGTTGCACAGACAAGAAGTCTATGGCTACTGGCTCAATCAGAACCATGATATTTTTGCCATTACTAACTTAAGTCAGATATGGACAGTTAACTGAATTCTTTCAACCTTTAGTTTTGCATTGGCACAGTCAAGATAAAGTGCTGGGGATAGCAAAGCAGATTACAGTATCTTCAAGCGTGCCAGGACACTACCTTGCGTGAAGGGCGCTATATAAATGCAAGTTAGTGGAGTCCTGTAGCTCAGTGGTTAGAGCATTCGCTTTGCAAGCGAAAAACCTGAGTTCAATTCCAGGCAGAGGGCGAAACCTTGGGCAAGTTTCCTTACTCCACACGCCTTATAATAATCCCACCAAAAACAAAAACAATAATAAATTGGTCATTTTCAATCTACGACTGTTTGTGGGACATTGCTGTGCGCAATTGGCTGCCGCATTTGCCCACAAATATACAGTCAATTCACTTTACAGTGTGTTCTGTGAAGCGCTTTGGGACGTCCTCCCGACGTGAAAAGCGCTATATCAAATGCAAGGATTTTTTAAAAGTTGTTGTGTATCATTTTAACTGTTTTAGCCATGCAGATTTTCTAGAAAATCTATTCGGTCTTAGAAATATCCTGAAGTTTTATGTGTACATCTGTGATAGTTTAAAATCCAAATGAAATAATGTCTGAAGCTTTAAAACTTCATGGATTTCTGCTGGATAAAAATACCATGATGTAGTTGCCTTCCTTTGTCATGATTAAGTTGGTTTCAAAGCAAATCAATGTTACTTATTAAGATTGGTAAAATGGATGTCTGGTACTAAATCTTACTGTGGCATTTTTATTTCATCCACAGGAAAGGAATGGCCAATTTTTGTTTTTCTGGGAGATTATTGACAAGTTGACAGGAGACATTTCCTTCTCTTCGAATAGCGCCACTGGATTTTAATATCTTCCTGAACAAGCAAAAGGGCCCTCAGTTTATTGTCTCATTGAAGGACAGCATCTCTGACAATATAGGACTTCCCCAGCACTGTGTTGATTTTAAGACCTCGTTTTTTCTGTTAAAGCTCCACTGTAGTGCTTCAACTTACCTCTGTGACCTACTAAAACCATAGCAACCTCTCCACTCAGCAGCCTGTTCTATGTCTGCAGCCTACCCACCCCAACGTTGGCAGTTGGGCCTTTGGTCTTTCTGCCCCCACCCTCTTGGAACTCCATCCAAGAATCTCTTTGCTTCACCCTCATCCTTTGCATCCTTAAAGGTGCTTCTCATTTATCATGCCTTTGGTCATCCTCCCATCCCCAACCCCCTTGCCCACCACTCCTTTAGATTGCAACTCCAAATCAATAGATCACAATCCCCATACCTTGGGATGTCCTCCTGACGAGAAAGGCGCTATATACATACATGCAATTTGTGTTGTTGTTTATAGCACTGCATTAGAGTGTCAACTTAGAATATGAGCTCCAAGACCTAATGTGGGGCTTGAACCTTCTGACCTAGAGGCAAATAGTTTGGATCAATTTGCTAACACTGATCCTTAAACTCGGTGTTTAAAATCAGCTAAAGCTTTGCTTCCAATAAGATGGATCTCGTTCTGAAGGAACAGTATAAGGCAGTGCTGATTTTATTTATTTTTTTATTTTGTTGAGTGTAAGTATTAATGTGTATGATAAGAAATACACATACACAAGCATAAATGGGAGCAGGGAAAGAATACCTCCTTAAAGCTGTTGAACGTGTCTGAGTTGTTCTCTGTTTGTCAATTTCAGGACAGTTTAAGCTACTGGAACAAGACCGAGATATCAAGGAGCCCGTTCAATATTTCAGCAGTGTGGAAGAGGTGGCAAAGGCATTCCCTGAGCGAGTGTACGTCATGGAGGAAATAACATTCAATGTTAAGGTTAGAATTTAGAGCATGCTTGTTCTATGTGAACACCTGCACGATTCAGTAACAAACCATTGTATAAACATCAGTCTGTTAGTTCCAGTATGACAAAAAGCTGAACTTGTAATGTTGTGATCTTTGCACAAGGTGCTTAAAAATAACAGCCTGACTGAGTTTAGTGAAAAAAGGCTGGGAAATGCAACTAGGAGGTTCAGCATATAGTCTAACTGCCAATATAGCAAGCAAAACTCCAAAGTAGTTAGGTCTTGAAATTGCCTTCAGCAGTCCTTAATTCATTGGGAACTTTGCTGAAAAATCCCAAATCCTAGAATCCAGTAGGTTTATTGATTAACTTCAGTAAATTTAGTGGCGTTCCTTTTCACTTTAAATCGGTATCGAAAGAAATTGGCTAATTTATTATGTGTTAGAAAATTAGTTATTTTGAGAATTTCAGAAGTAGGATAGTGTATTTCATTGAGGTGTTAATCAGCTATGTTAGTGTTCAAAACTAGTGTTCAGACTCCTTTATCATTAAATTACTGTTGCTTTGTTCCTGTGGTTCTCACTTGTTGTTTTGTTGTGCAGAATAAGGTCTTAACTAAGCAATACAAGAGCAAATCTCTCTACAGGAGGAAGTAAAAGTCTACGAATGAATAATTTTGAGTGACCTTCATTGATAGTTTTAGGCGAAAATGTTTGAAGAAGGCAAGAGGTATAAACAATATTTAGGTAAAACATTATATAGCCAAAGCTACCCAATTAAAACATTTGCGTGTGCTGTGGCATGTACAAGCCTGCACCAATTCATCCAGATAAAGAATCACTTCTTAGCTGTTGGTGGGACATGGCTACGTGCAAATTGGCTGCCATGTTTGCCTGCAAAATACAATTTACTACACTTTACAATAATCTTGTGAAGTGCTTTGAGATGTCCAGTGTTTGAAAGGTGCTGTATCAAACACAGGAATTATTATTACTGGGTTTTTATATAATGTCGCTATCATTATTTTGGAATCTCAACAGCATTGAACTGACACTCAGTTATGTGGCACACTAATGTGAGGAGCTGATCTGAAAGACAGTCTGTAGTGCATTAATGGAACATTCCTGCATTGTGGAATAAAAATATATGTAAGTGTTCTGCATTAATTGGACCCCCTGGGCTAATCGTGAGTTATTGTGAAATACCATTAGCCTTTTCTGTTCTTATACAATCAAACCAGTTTAACAACTAGTTTTGGACAGTTGTTGGGTGTGATCAGTCTGTTCAGTGTTTCCAAATATAGTTAACATAACAGCCGAAAGAGACTCGATTATCCATATTAATTGGGACGAAACTCGTTGTGGATAAGCAGTGAGATTAATTGGTTACCAGACAAAATCTAAATGGGCTTCAGTGATAACTATAAATAGTTTCATCAGGAATGTTACTGTTGCTGTAGTTCCACACTGCCAGCTCCTCATTCTCTAAGTCTCTCACTCTCTCTTGAGTTTCTTTCCACGCCTCTGAGTCTCTCTCTTTGAATTTTCTCTTTTTCTGACTCTAATTCTTTAAAAGTGCTGTGTAAGACTTATCTTTGTAGGACTGACATTTGCTCTGTAGAAGAAAAACCTGTTACACAGATGTGCAGTTGCTCAAAGCCACTCAGTAACTAGATTGCATCTTTAGTAACTGCGCAACTTTGCAATGTGCATACAAGATTATTTTCTGCCAGCATCACAACCTGACATTCAAATACCATGTCAGTGACCCATGTGTGCATGGTTGAATTGGTGTGCAGATAACCAGTGCTCAACTGTACTTTCTATTGAGAGTGAACGTTTGGAGTGCAGTTGCCTTCTTACAATTGACAGTGGTTATTAATTGACTTTGGAAGCGCTTGTTCAAATTGCTGACCTTTACAAAACTCCAGTGAATACTTCATCTTGGCCTGCTTGTACTCAGAACATGACACCGACTCAGTAAAGTAGAGTGAGCATCCATTCAAGTTTATGGGGTCAGCGCCTGTATATATAAGTTTATTGAACCCATTTTTTTGTGATCAATCCTGCAATTAGTAATTACCAGAACAGATATGTTTATGTACAGAATCTCTACATGACTGGACATTTATAGTTTTAATATCTAAGCGCATGAGACATATACTAAATATAGCAGAAATGGGTCCAAAACCCTGTTTCGATTAAACTGCTTTCTGAACCCAAGGCTTATCAGTGAATAGAGAGCTATCAGTTTACATTGAGAGGATGAAATTGGGCTATTTGGTTTGTGTGTCCCTTTATTTGGTATGCAAATGTTAAGACCTGATTGGCAGCCATGTAGTACCAGATGAAGTTATTATAAAGAAAAGACTGATGTACACAGCATCAAAGAGGTGAGAAGGAAGAAAGTCTGCAAACCGCAATTTGAACATAAAGTTGGCCTTGTTGACAGGTTGTGCCACAGAAATCTAATCCCAAGAGATCATCAATCAACCCTTATCCTCTGAACTTCAAATTAAAATGTAGAGCAACTATATATGTCACTTTGGTGCAGTGTAATAGGAAACGTCTAATAGTTTCCTACATTGATTCAGGAAACGATTAGGATTATTTTGACAGGACTAAAATATGTGTTGCTCCCACAGGAAACTGACATGGAGCCTGGCCTCTTTCTGACAACAGACTAAGTTATGGTCATTACAGTAAACCTTTCATATCCTCAGTGTCATGGCCTTATCAAAAGATGACCTTAATGAGTTGAAGAAATTCAGCAGTTTTTTTTTATCCTTCTTGCCTCTATACTGCTGTGTGCATCAGCCTCTGTCTCCATAGCAACTTAATTTGGCATTACATGGCCGTCCATCATAACAATAATAATCCTTACATATGATGTAGCGCCTTATCTCATCATCGAGACATCTCAAAGCGCTTCACAGAATATACTGTAAAGTGGATTGAGTGACCAAATTATAATTTTTTAAAAGGATTATTACCTCAGAAAAGCGATCAGCCAATCGACTTAACAATCGGGTTCCCCTTACTGCTAGGTAAACAGAGGCATGTATTTTCATGCTTTATATTGCATATTAACAGCATAATCTTTGAAATTCACTTAAGAATAAACTTGCCTTCTTATCTTCAAAGAGTCAGTGTTAGTGTCAATCTATTTGAGGGTGAGTGAGAACAGCAATGAATGGAAGAAGAGCTGAAAGAGATCCCGAGAAGATTATCACCTACATAATATAACTGTCAGAATTGACCTTGGATAGTGTTGTGCTTATCAGGTCACCTTTTCCTAAATTATTGTCATACAATAAAATCCAAACAGGTGGCGTTCAGTAGTTACAATCTGGTATCATGTGGTTCAGTAGTATAGGAATATAGTAAGAGGTGGGTTCACATCTGCAAAATCTGCCTCAAATGGGTTATTTCATGTCCACTATTCAGTTTTACATTTGTTTAGTAAGAGAAAAGGTAATGGGATGGATACCAGGGGCTTGCGGAAAATTTTTGAATCAACTGAATTCCTGGAATAGCCTGTTCTGGATTTCTCCCAGCCCCCACTCCAGCTAGATAATTGCAAAGCAGGCTCTATGTATTTTTAGATGTAGAAGATGTTGGTAAAACTAGCCTTCTTTAATTTTTTTCTAACCACAAAAATGGATGCTCTTTTGGAGATGAAACAGTAAGATTTAGTCTGCTGGTTTGATCCTATGTGATATCCTTGCAATGGCCTTTTTGGTTTTGGAAGGTGAGTTGATTACAGTGTCTTCACACATTTCCTAGCTTTATTTTTGTTTGTCTGAAATCTTTCCAAGGAACTCATAACAACATAGAGCACTAGGTAGCTGTGAATATGGTGTACTTTTAGTGCAACCAGTCTCTTCCCCCTCTCCTCCCTCCCCCAAACTATTTGCTGCTTCTGGTGAGTTTATAAATGTAAAATCTGCGGTTACAACTTTAACAATTTCAGCAAGTAATAGGAAACATGCATGTACAGGCTGTTTAAATATGCATGCACACAAGGATTGTTTGGTATTTCACACTTGTGGTAATCCCGTGTGTTCATGTACATGAAATACCACACATGACCATTGGCCAGTTAGAAAACCCAGTTCTAAGTATGTCAAAATAAAATAAGTTTTGTATTTTGTCATCACTTAGAAATTGCTGTAATAGATGTGAAGGTATTTATTTCATGGGTGACTGTAAATGTCCCAACTTTCCATTAAATTCAGATTCCTTGGCATGAAATTGTTTGGTTGTGAAATTGTGTCAGATTGGATTTTTGTGTGGTGCCACTCAACTTGGTAAATTGTCTTGACTGGAATCTTCAAAACCATTGGAGACGTTGACTTTAAATGTAATCTTTTTTGATATGGTTCACAAAAACCCTCTTTTCTTCCTAGGTAGCGTCAGGGGAATGCAATGAAGACACAGAGGTGTACAACATCACTCTCAGCACTGGGGATGAGCTTACTCTCATGGGACAAGCAGAAATCCTTTATGCAAAAACATCAAAGGAAAAGTCGAGACTTAACACTATCTTTAAAAAAATTGGGAAATTGAACTCGATCAACAAGTTGGGACGAGGCAAGATGCCCTGCCTAATATGTATGAATCACAGGACCAATGAAAGCATTAGTCTTCCTTTCCAATGCAAAGGTCGATTCAGCACACGCAGCCCCCTGGAAATACAGATGCAGGAGGGTGAACATACTATTCGTAACATTGTTGAAAAGACTAGATTACCAGTGAATGTTACGGTGCCGTCCGCCCCCCCACGAAATCCCTATGATCTACACCTCATCCGGGAGGGCCATCGCTACAAGTTTGTTAATATCCAAACTAAAACTGTTGTGGTGTGCTGTTTACTTCGGAATAACAAAATGATTCCAATGCATTTTCCGCTTCATTTAGTTGTGCCAAAGTTTACCCTCCCTGAAGGCCTCATTCAAGGAGAGACATGGTACGAGAGCACAATTCAGTCCTGGTTCAACATTTGCCAGGAACAGTTTGATATTGATGAATATTCACGAGCTGTTCGGGACGTGAAGACTGATTGGAGTGAAGATTGTAAGAGCCCAAAGAGAAACAGATGTACTGGGCACAGTCACATTCCAAACTCCCTTAGTTATGCTCGTGAAGAACTTACACAGTCTTTCCATCGACTTTCAGTATGTGTTTATGGTAACAATTTGCACGGCAATAGTGAAGTGAATCTCCATGGCTGTAGAGATCCTAGCAGTGAGTGGACCCTTTTTTCTCATGAAACCCTTACATTACAGGACTCCGGAGACAGTGCGAGTGATTATCTCTTGCCTGAAGTAACTGAAGAATCTGCTGGAACCCAGTCACGTTCAGATCTTCCTTATGAAGAACTCTGGTTAGATCAGGGAACCTGGAGACGATATGGGCAAGATCTTTACTGTTCTTCAGGAGAGAGAATGAAATCTGGTTGTCAGAAAGGTTCCATCCACTCCAAATGCGCCGTATCTTCGACCCTTTCTACTCAAGGTTCTTTGTCCACAGTTAAATCGCCATCTGATATTTCTCTACCTCCGCCACCAGTGCCTCCAAAGTCTGAAGCTGTGAGTAATTGAAACTTGCTAATATGCTTATATAAGTGTTGAAGGTAACATTTTTAAAAACTTGATAAATCTTGTCAATGTTGCAGTGGCAAAACCTGCTGTAGTACATGTTTTTCCACTGAAATTTGAAATGCCCTTGATGGTTACTTTCCCACAGCGCTTCCTTGTTAGGATGTCTGCATGAACTTGGCTGCTTTTACTAGAACATTTCGCAGAATTTTGGCTTGTAAATTAACCATGTGTTCTTTCTAAATGGTAGGAAAAGTATCAACATCTAAAAAGTTTTAAAATTACCTAAAGTACACTCATTTTGTAAATTAAATGTTGCTAGATTTTGCCCTTATTTTAATTTTTTGTATTTGGATTTAATTTTGTATTTCTTAATTTCATAACATCATTTTGATTTGCTGTTCAAATTGATTGAAACGCATACATACCCAGATGTTGAGGTAGAGTAAACAAATTATGTTAAAAGGCAATTAGATGGATGCTTAAAAATTAGGAATATTAATGGATATTGGGGAGGGAACAGGCGAGTAGGATTAGATTAGGTGGCTCATGTGGAGGAAAAACATGAGTGCAGACTTTACAGGTTGAATAGCTGTAACATTCTATAATTCGATAATACACGGAAAATCAACAAATGCAGTGGTGTAACCAATGTGGTTCATTAATGAAAGATTTAAAATTCAGAGAATTTGTCTATCTTTTCAGTTAGACAAATAATTTAATGTGTTTACGAAGAATTATGTTGATCAGTGGGTTTGAAAAGCTCAGTAACTGCTTTAAGTGCTTGTTTTATTATTATTTTGTTCTGGGCAATCTAAAGATTGTCCAGTTTTGTTTTTACCTTCTAGAGCATATGTATTTTAAATCTATAGATGGAGCATTTTGATACTCTGATTGGCTGAAACGTGTAAGATACTGGCTCAAATATGAGTTCTAGCAGGAAATGCAGAGCAAATGACGGGCATATTCATTCCTTCAGAGAAAATTAATATCCAGAGCTGTTAGCCTAGCTTGTGTTTGCCATCTACTGCTTGAGTTTAGGATCTGCAGTTTCAGGAGTTTGAAGCTGATTTGTTTTGGAATAATACGGATGTCCTTCCAAAAACATAAGAGGGGAACATGGGGAGGAATGAAAACACTAAATATTTTACACTAGAGTTGTACAGTATGCTAAAGCTTAGAGAAGAGATAGGAGTCAGCTTTCCTCGGACACATGTGTATGACAACCTTGTAGGTGTCTGCTCTTGGATTCCTTTTTATCTTTGTAGTACTTTCTCTATTTTTACCACCTTCTCATCTATCCTTCTTCGTACCATCTATTCCCCCCCATTCTGACCCCTCTCTATCTCCTTCACTCTCCAGAAATCTACTGTAGTTGCTTCTCAAATCTACTCATACAAAAAGGCCTGACTTTTGGCTCGTACTAACTTTTCCATGTTTGTTTTCACTGAAGTGCTTGCACTACATGGTTATTTCTAAAAAGAAAGTGGAGATTTGAAACCTTTGATCTTGTGTTTTTTGTTGTGACGTATTTGCTATTCTCAGTGATCTCTTCATATTGTATAGAACAATTGCTCTCCTGTTTACTTACAACAACCCCCCACCCCGAAACTAGGTGATTAGAAGTTGCCCTTCATCTGAAGTGATAAGATACTAAAGTGCTAGACCTTGTAACTTAGTGATTACAGTCACAAATTGATATTCCAATGAGGTATCTCAAATGCTCTTTTTGTCCAGGTCTTAAATGTTTCTAATTTCCCTCTTTCTTTCCCAAGACTCAACCAGACAAACTACTTCTCAGGCGAGAGAGGGAAGCAATTTGCTTCCAGTCCTTGACAATTCTGTTTTCTCACCAACTTGCTAGAAGCAGTTTAGAAAGCACATCTATATATACCAGGTACTTTCTGGTCCGACTCTGGGACTGTGCTGACGTTGTTGGTATCGGTTGCGGTTGCATGGGAAAACTAAATTGACCATGGTGTTCTCCAAATTAAGGAGGGGAAAACCAGTCAAGGTTCTTGTTTCTGGTCACTTTACAGTCCCCTCTAATAGGCCCGTGTGTGGCATCCAGGTGAGGAGAGGGCAGATACAGCGGTGAAGCTCTCTAGTCAAGTGGCCTGCCAATATTCACGACCAAGCTTTGTACATGAACATTGGCCACTTTTACTGGAGGGTAACTAGTGCCCAATAAGAATAGGCCAGACCAGTGGTAGAGAGAATTATGGCAGTGAGGAGAAACTTGGAAAAAGTTGGTGGACTGAATTTTGCAGAGTGACGTGCTTCCTCTCTTTGTACATACATAGCAGTAATTCCATATATAGTATAGAGATTGTTTAGATTTACGTATCAGGCGTCAGGATACAAATCTATCGGATGCAATCTGATCTCTTTTTTTTAAAAAATCTTCGCCCCCCCCCATTCTAAAACTATGCCTAATGTCATTCTTGATAAGTAAGTAATAATCCCTCCAAAACAAAACAATAATAAATTGGTCATTTTTAATCTACGACTGTTTGTGGGACAAAGCTGTGCGCAATTGGCTACTACTTTCGCCCACAAAAATATACAGTCAATTCACTTTACACTATATTCTGTGAAGTGTAAGTGTAATTCTTTGAGACGTCTAGAAGACGTGAAAAGTGCTATATCAAATGCAAGGATTATTATTAAGTTAGTGATCTGAAAAGGGCTGCAGACTCTCATCTGTGTATCATCAATTGGAGAACATCAAACAAAATTAGGCCCTTTATTAGTATGTACTCACTGTTGCAATTGTTTTTTTTTGGCCATGATAAGCTTGTTATCTTCACTTGACTTTAAATGGAGGTTTAAATTAAGGTGACATATATGTAACCTTCTTCCACAGGAAACTTAAGTTGATTAGGTTCTGTCAGAAGTACTGTAAATTCCCGAGAATCCCCAAGCCTAGAATATTGAAAGGTTTAGCTGATTTTTCAGTTATAATAACCCTTTAGAATCCCTAGTTCTTATTTTGTCGTGTGGCTAAATGACTTTCTCTAAATGTCTCTGCATTCCAATCAGACCCATTTGCAGATGGGCAAACTACATCAAGCCACTGGCAATGATGATTTGAAAATACCCTCTAAGAATCCAATAGAGTAGTCCAGGGATGACTTCCTGTGGGAGAAGCATCTGCCTATGTTTGGTTCTTTCTCGTTTTACCTGCTGATGTGAACCCACATTGAAGCTTGTGTATTGGTGATCTCATGCTGTATTGTTACTCAGCTGTACTTTGTTCCAAAGTATTTGAAGTCGAGCAGTTTATGGACTCAAAATGCATCGATGTGAAACTATTTTACGGAATACTTCATTTGCTGACTGAAGGTATAAAGTACTTTGAGAAAGTTGTGCAATCATGAGTAATGAGAAAGCGTGTGATTTAGTACACATATATATAATGGAAAATTTGGCAGTTTCAGCTTCAGTTAGACATTTCTCTACAGTGGTAATAGTGCCACAGATTTCTCTACAATGTCAAGCTGCTCAAAATGTCTTTTATTTAATGTTGCTATTTATTTTTATCAGTGTTTAATTTAGTCTGTAACATCTTCTACATTTTGAAAATACATAAACGTTAAGCATTTATTCAGTGTGTGTTTCTTTTCAGGTAAAGGAAGAATGCAGGCTTCTGAATACCCCGCCAGTGCCCCCACGGAATACCAAACCATCATCACTTAGTCCCTCCATTCCTCCTCGACAAATACGCCAGCAGGCGCGTTCTCCTAGTCCCACTCTATCTTATTATTCTTCTGGATTGCATAACATGTAAGGAACTAGTACCCGGTGTATTTTGCCATCTAGCAACTTGACAGCGTTTCATAATATTTTCTCATCTTTGGGCAAGGGGTTTGAAAGCTGACTGAGTGGGGGCTGGGAGAGAAAGTATTTCAAAATATATTCAAGATCATATGATCTAATATGGAGCTTACTTTGTGAACTACAGTAATGTGATTGCATCCTCCCTTCCACATGAGAGTAATTTCCTGTTTCTAAGCTTTGAACTTGGAAAAACAAGCAAGTTTGAAAGGTTACAGATTTCAGTCAATGCAATTTGAGGGATTTATGTGGGGAAAAGTACGGCAGTGTTATTTAGTGTACAAGTAAGCTTATGTGAATAAAACGTTAATCTGTCTAATGGTTTGTTTAAAACATTACTCATTATTCTAAACACAAAAAAGCTCCGCTTATCAAACTCTTTTGAGAATGTACTGTGACAACAACAACAACAAGATTCCATTTATAGAGCGCCTTTCACGTCGGGAGGACGTCCCAAGGCGCTGTACAGTTGGGTCAGGACCCGTGCAGGGGGGAAATGGTCAGGGTGAGGGGAGGAAGGGAGGGAGCAAGGCGAAGGCACTGGGGGATAGAGTTCCAGAGCCTGGGGGCTGAGAGGCTGAAGGCCCGGCCACCGATGGTAGGGTGGTTGGGGCGGGGGATGTGGAGCAGACCGGAGCCAGAGGAACGGAGGGTACGGGCAGGTAGGTAGGGGGATAGTAGGTCGGAGAGGTAGGAGGGAGCGAGGCCGTGAATGGCCTTGTAGGTGAGGATGAGGATCTTGAATTCGATCCTCTGGGGGATGGGGAGCCAGTGGAGGCGAGCGAGGGTGGGAGTGATGTGGTCCCGAAGCCTGGTGCGGGACAGTACACGAGCTGCAGAGTTCTGAATGACCTGCAGCTTGTGGAGGGAGGTGGCGGGAAGGCCGGCGAGGAGAGAGTTCCCATAGTCCAGCCTTGAGGTGATGAAGGCGTGGACCAGAGTTTCAGCAGCGTGAGGGGTGAGGTAGTGCCGTAGTCTGGCGACATTCCGGAGGTGATGGAAGGCGGTGCCAGTTGTGGCGCGGATAAGAGGGAGAAAGGACAACTCAGGGTCGAACAGAACGCCGAGGTTCCTGACTGGCTTTGAGAGGTGGAGAGTGCAGCCTTGGATGCTGATGGTGTCAGCGCCTGAGGTGCGGAGGCGCTGACGTGAGCCAATCAGGAGGGCCTCAGTTTTACGCACGTTGAGCTGAAGAAAGTTGTCTCTCGTCCAGGACTCGATGTCGGACAGGCAGCTGTCAGGACATCGGTGGTCGTGGAGTTGAGGGTAGAGGAGGAAAGGTAGAGTTGGGTGTCATCCGCATACATGTGGAAGTTAACCCCATGTCTGCGGATGATGTCACCAAGGGGGAGCATATAGAGGGTGAAGAGGAGGGGACCGAGGACAGAGCCCTGAGGGACACCGCACGAGACAGTGCGGGGTGGAGGAAAAGCCATTCGTGGTAACAAAGTGAAGACGGTGGGAGAGGTACGACCTAAACCACTCAAGGACAGGGCCTTGAAGGTTGAGGTGGGAGGACAAGCGGTGGAGGAGGATAGCATGGTCGACCGTATCGAATGCTGCCGATAGGTCGAGGAGGACGAGGAGGCAGAGGGAGCCCTGGTCACAGATGGTCAGGATGTCATTGGTGACCTTGACCAGGGCAGTTTCTGTGCTATGGGCAGCACGGAAACCCGACTGAAGGGGTTCGAATAATGAATGGGTGGAGAGGAAAGAGCGCAGCTGGGAGGCGACAACTCGTTCCAGGACCTTGGACAGGAAGGGGAGGTTGGAGATGGGCCGGTAGCTTGATAGCTGCGACGCATCAAGGGAGGTGGGAGTGATGGTGGCAGTTTTTAAGGGAATGGGAACAGAGCCAGAGGAGAGGGACAGGTTGACGATGTCTGTGATATGTGGGGCAAGGAGGTGGAGCTGGGAGATAAGGAGTGGAGTGGGGATGGGGTCAAGGGAGCAGGTGGTGGGTTTCAGGGATAGGATGAGTTTGGTGACAGAGGGTGGGGAAACGGGTACGAAAGTGTGTAGGGGAGGATGGGTAGGAGTCGGAGTGTGGGAGGGAGGGGGTGGGTGGATGTTGGAGGTGTAGTGACCGCGGAGCGAATTCCCTTGATTTTGGATTCAAGGAAATCCAGCATCTCCTCGCAGTGAAGGTTGGAGGAGATGACCTGCGCGGGTTGGTGGGGGGGACGGAGGAGTCTGGATGTGGTAGAAAACAGTAGCCTGGGGTTGTTCTTCGCTTCCAGGATTATCCTGGAGTAGAAGGACGACTTGGCCGAGGCTAGAGTGGAGCGGTAGATTTTGAGGAGGTCCAGCCAGATTCGTCGGTGGATCGTTAGGCCAGATTTGACGTAGGTGCGTTCAGCGGCCCGCACCTGGCGGAGGGGGGTGGAGGTGGTGAAGGAGATGAAGTGGTGGTCGGAGACAGCCGTGTCGGTGATAGTGACATCCGAGACACTGAGGCCCCGGGTGATCACCAAGTCGAGTGGGTGGCCGTGACTGTGAGTGGGGGAGTTGATGTGGAGGGAGAGGTTGAGCGAGGAGAGCAGGGAAGAGAAGTCCGAGGAGATGGAGCAGGAGGGGGTGAAGTGCAGGTTGAAGTCGCCCAGGATGATGAGGCGATCAGAGCAGAGGCAGAGAGATGTAAGGAGTGTCGAAATATCGGAGATGAAGGTGGGAGAGCTTTTAGGGGGCCGGTAGAGGAGGAGGATTTTGAGCGAGACGAAGGAGGGGTGGGAGAGGGTGAGGTGCTCGAAAGAGGGAAAGAGCGAGAGGAGTAGGGGGATAGGGCAAGTGGTGTCCTTGAGATAAGGGCTACACCACCGCCACGGCGGTTGGGGCGAGGGATGTGGGGGGAGGTATAGCCGGGTGGTGTGGCCTCCGTGAGGGGGAAGGTGTCGCCTGGGGTGAGCCAGGTTTCCGTTAAGGCCATGGTGTCAACCCTCTCATCAAGGATGAGATCGTTGATGACCAGGGCTTTGTTACAGAGGGAGCGGACATTTTGTAGTCCGATGTGGAGGGAGCGGTTGACAGAAGGGTGTGTGGGAGGGGAGGGGGGTCCAGGTTGTGAAGCAGAGGTGTGGGGAATGGGGATAAGGGAGGAGAGGTTGGCTCCCCGGGTCTGTGTCCGGGTTGGCTGGCGAGTGCGGTGGGGAATGGGGCAGTTGGTGTGGCTGCTGCTGGACAGCCAACGCCGAGTGACATCATCCTGTGAAATAAAATCTGAACCTAATTGCTTAAATATACTGCATTATCCAGACTACTGTTGACGGTTCTTTTACATTGAATTGAATTTCAGTGTTTTTTTTGTAAGTTTTTTTTAAAAAAGTGAGACGAGTTTCAGGTACTTTTCTCTCTTTTGTTGATGATCTCCACATTGCAGCCCACCAATGGCTAGGACAGTGTATAACCTGCCCCCAGGTCAATGCTACTGTAATGCTGGAGAGGAAAAGAAAGAAGTTCACAGTTTGCCTCAATTTTTCCTTCCTACGTGTAGGCAGCTCTTGGCCTGTTTTACGACAACCCCACATGGAAGCATGGCTGAGATCAAGTTTCACCTGTGGAAAATTCTCTTCATAATCCTACACATGTAGCACAGTATATTGAGGTACAAGAGTGCTGTGTTACTAACTAACATATTGTTAAGGACCATTAGTCTTTTTTTAATCCCCCAAATAAAAAACGTTTTTTCTTCCCCACTGGTCTATTTTTGGTATCAAGAAACAAAACAGTTGGAGGGCAGGAAAATTTGTGATAGATGGGGGTAGGAAAGATGGATGAAGGAAAGACACAGTCAAAGAGGTAGGTCTTGAAACAGACTTTGAAGGAGGTGAGGGAAGGAGTGAGTTGAAGGGACTCCAGGATGGAGTTCTAGAAAGTGGGGGCAGTTAGACTGTAAACCTGGCCGCCGATAGTGGGGTTGGATAGGGCGGGGAACATGATGCTGATGCCTGCTGAGTGGAGGAAGCAGGCGGGTTTGAGAAGGTTGCAAGGATAGGTTGGAGCAAGAACGTACAAGGGTTTAAAGGTGAAAAACAAGGAATTAGACTTAGCTTCTTGAGTCTTTAAAAGATCCAGTTGTGTATGTGCGCAAAACCACAAACATACATGCTTACAGTGTTTAATGTGCACAACTTGCATATGTGCACAACTCAGTGCTTGGGTATACTTTGAAACAGGTGGGTGCACACCATCCTGAATAGTGAAAATAAATCTCTTATTTGGGGTTTTGCCAATCAAATTAAGGAGAGAATAATTTTTTATTGATGGATTTTCACCAAAAACAAAGGGCAGATATTTTACTGTGAAAATTTATTTTTTTAAAAATGGTGTTTACCTATTGTTACCTTCCAAAACATAAAAGCAGGTTTAGAAGAAAGGGACTGTTTCAGTTGCTGTCACTATAAGGGAAAGGCTCACCTCAGTAAGAATCCCTATGTAACTATTCCTGCAGGTGAGACCAAAAACTAAGGGGTATGTATTTTCGTACACAAAATTAATGAGTGCAAGGGTGGAGAGTGGGTAATATTTCTCATTCGGTCTGGCTTCTTTAAATTGAAATATTTTGTCATTTGCTTTATGCTTTGTCATTAGAAACTGATCAGGAAGTAAGTATGGTCTCCTAGGAGCTGAGCTGATTCCAAAGTGACAGGTTGGCACCATAATGTTAGCATTAAATAAATCCTCTGTGGTGGTGTCAGTAGATAGGTTCTTGTGCCAGTGCCAGGGCACTGCTGATAACAGACCAGCTGGCAGGACATGGAGTTGCAGACTGGTCACTGGGAGCAAGGATTCTTCCCACTCAGCTCCTGTTGATCCTGCAAGCCAAAGCCCTAATGGGTAGGGTGCTCCTAGCTGGATAAGAAGCTTACCACACTGTTTTTAATGGCAAATTATGTAGTTTTATCAGCTAAACTTCAAATAGTATCCCAACACGCCTCTTGGGATCCCAAGCTGTGGCTCTTGCCAACCTGTGCCAAATACTCTCCAGAATTAAGTAAGCAAGGTTCATCTGTCTAGGGAGAGAGTGCATATTCCATTCCAAATACTGGTATTTCCATGTGTAGTGACATGCATGGAACTCTGTCTGCATAGTCTTAAGTCTGGTTCATTGATTACACCATCTTATCGGTAAAATGAATCTTTATTAATGGAAATTTGGTTCATTAACTCATTCCCTACGCTTGTTTATTTTATCAAAAGCATTGATAGCTTGTCACACCTATTTTCTTTAAATTTCATTTCCAAAATGCAGCTATTGGTACTCCAGGGTCTTTCATTAATACAGTACAGTTCACCACTACATGTTATGTTTTGTTAAACTGGTGAAATTGTCTAAATAGCTTTGTTTTTATTAATAATTGCATTTTGGGTTAAGTTCACTTTTTAAGTTGGGTGACTACTGCAAACTTGAAATGAGTTGACCCCTGACTAGTTTGATTTTGGGGAGGGAATCTGCCATACAGATAAATTACTGAACTGTTGAACAACTGAAATTATTTTCTTTAACTTTTGCAGTTTTGCCACAGAAAGCGATATACCTCCAACACATGAGCAACACGCCGCAGCTTCCTGTTACCCTTGTAACTGGATTAAACTTGGTGCTATGGACAGTGGTACTAAATCCCCCGTCAAAAGCCCCAGATTGGACGTTCTGTCAAATCGGTCATCGTGGCCAAGCCATCACTCTGGTGATGCTGAAGGTCTAGATATCGGGGAGTTTGGAGCCAAACACAGAAGTTACTACAGTTATCCTCGTCAGAAGATTCCTGGTCCAAAGAGCAATGTGCCCATACACTTTCAGTTTGTTGACTGTGAATGCAGTGAAGGCTGTGAGAAGCATACAATGAATACTTTTGGTGAGAAACAGTCCAAAGGTAGTGGCTTCAATTTTATTTTTGCCGGATGTCCCAAATCTGCTTGTTATTCATTAGACAGCAATGAGGATAAATCTTTAGCAGACAGCAATGCACAGCAAAATCAATCATGCGCCACCTTACCTGCACCTTCACTGAAACTAAGTGATGAGGAACTAGTTGACCTGGAAGCACTATGTTTGCCTTCAACTATAGATGGGGCAGAGGATGACCATCAGATGTGTTCAACAAATCTACCTGAAGACCATAATTGTGTTAAAGGTGTACGAGATATATTTTCTTATCCTTTTTCTTCTCCTCTGCACCTACAATTAGCACCACGTTCATGTGGTGATGGGTCACCCTGGGAGCCACCAGCTGACCTTTCGGGGCTTTCCATAGAAGATGTGTCAAAGTGCCTGAGATTTATCGGACTATCTGAGGATGTAGTGTCATTGTTTGTTGCTGAAAAAATTGATGGAAATTTACTTGTACAACTTACCGAAGACATACTGTCTGAGGATTTTAAACTTAGCAAACTGCAAATGAAGAAACTGTTACAGTTCATCAGTGGCTGGCGGCCAAAGATGTAGTGACTCAGAAGTGGCATGGATGGGGAGCCTCTGTCCTCGACGTACATTGTTTTGCACTAAAGCCATAACTTTTTGTACTGTAAAAAAAATTAGTGCTGTGGCAACAAACAATTTGCTTGTAAAGGTACTAATTACTGGTGACTTTTGTATGCTAATAAAACTGACATCCTACAACAGAAATGACCTTGCTTAAAAGCGAACCATGTGCATCACTTAACTATCACTGGCCGCTTGAACAAGCTGAAAGCATAGAAATCAAACTGAGTTAATCGTCTCATATTGTTTTAATTTTAATGAGAATACAGAGAAGTAATTTAACCCTCTAAGTTAAGTGTTTGTGTGATAGACAAATGTGCAGCCCAATTATACTCTTCTAACTATTGGCAATATGGACTGATGTTATAAAAGTGTTGTCATAAAAAACAGAAGATGCTGGAAATGCAAAAGATCAATCCGTATCTGAAAAATAAAAAATGTTTGCACTGCATTTTCAGCATTTCCTGCTTTATTTCTGATTTCCAGCATTTGCAGTTTCATTTTTATCTATTTAAATGTCCATTATGGTTCTGGGCTACTTTTCAGTCACTGTAATCTTGAATTATGCTCCAGGGCAACTAATGTACAAATAGACAGTGATTTTTTTTACTCCTGGGCATATTTATTTTGTCAGGACAAACCACAATGCTGATCAATAAGAAGAAGGTCTGTTTTAATTCCAGTTATTGATCTTCAGTGTGTAAATTGAACAAATTGACATTAGACCAAACTCAAAAAATACACTTCATTTAATGTAATAAATCCACTCGAGACCTATTTAAATGTTCCATAAAGAGTGATGTATTTTACTGCTTTTGTTTTGAAATCTGTATTCTTGTCTTTTTTTTCCTACCTCAACTGGTTGCTTCATGCAAGCAAGGCTTAAAGCTAGAGCTAAGAATGTGGTTTATAATACAATACATCATTTTCTTTTCAACAACTATCTTTTTCTGAACTATCTCCTCACCCACCACCTCCCTTACTAAGAATGCAGGAGCATTCCTGCAGTACCTCAAATAAAGCTGTTCTCTTTGACAATGCAAAGCAACAGTAGAAACGCCACTACAAGCACTTGGCTAATTCAAGAATATTTTTACCCATATAATGTGGATTCGTTTGAGTGCAGATTGAACCAGCAACCTGAAGATTTTCTAGCAATTATTTTCCTACACTCTCTTCCTTTGTTTGACATACAACCTCACCTCGGTGCAGCGCTCAGAAGCTATCCTGCATTCAGGGTGTTATCAAAATGCAAGTTGTGTTTTTTTGTGTGAGACTTAGCAAAGGCTCATCAACCACAATATAAACTGCTTCTTTACAGTTCCACTAATTGCATGTAATTGATCTGATTGTAAAAAAATGAAGGATGAGTTGATCTAAAAGCATGACAGAAAATGTGCATAGTTACGGGGCCAATCCTGGAGATAATGCAACTGATTTCAGGTGCTTTGTTGTGGGACAAATGGCAGAAAGGACAACACAACAACAAGATTGCATTTATAGAGCGCCTTTCACGTCGGGAGGACGTCCCAAGGTGCTGGACAGTTGGGTCGGGACCCGAGCAGGGGGGAAATGGTCGGTGAGGGGAGGGAAGGGAGGGAGCGAGGAGGGGGTAGAGAGTCGAGAGGGGAGGTGAAGGCACGGTTGAAGAGAAAGGTCTTGAGACCGGCCTTGAAGGAGGAAAGGAGGAAGCAAGGCAAAGGCAATGGGGGATGGAGTTCCAGAGCCTAGGGGCTGAGAGGCTGATGGTAGGGCGGTTAGGGTAGGATATGTGCAGCAGACCGGAGTCAGAGGAATGGAGGGTACGGGCAGGTACATGGGGGGATAGTAGGTCGGAGAGGTAGGAGGGTGCAAGGCCGTGAATGGCCTTGTAAGTGAGGATGAGGATCTTGAATTCGATCCTCTGGGGGGGATGGGGAGCCTGTGGGTGACATGTTCAATTACAGCTCAGAAAAATTGTTGATTCAGTTCCTACTTCGATTGGTCTCTGCCTTTTCAATTCTCTTTGCACAAAGCACAAAGTTTCAGTCTCAGGGAGGGTGCAGTTTGCTGGTTGTTTGCATTATACAGATGATTATATCCAATGGAACATTCGAACAATTTCACATATTTGGCTGTTTTTCCCATACTGTATGCAGATGACACACAACTGTACCTCTCTGCCTCCACCCTTGACTCCAGGCCACTGCAGACATAACCTGGGTGTCAGGTTCGACCCACAACTGTATTCCTTTTCCATATCTGATCCCTGACCAGGACTGCCATTCTCCACTCCCGCCACATTGCCCACCTCCGACCGTACCTTAACCTGGATGCAGCCAGAACATTCATCGATGCGTTCATTACCTCCCGATTGGATTTCTCAAATGTCCTCTATGCCTGTCTCTTCAGCTCCACCATGCACAGGATCCAACTGATCCAAAACTTTGCCACCCACATACTTACCCGTACTAAACGCTGTTCATCTATTCTTCCGGCTTGCCTCTTCCTTCCTCATTTTCAGTTTGCCAAGATCTTCCTATTCGCGTGTGCTTATTGACACCGCCCCATCCCCCTGGCTCGGAATCGAGCTCCGTCATTGTCAAGCGCTCTGGGATGCTATATAAATGTGAGTTGTTGTTGAATGCAGTTTGTGACACGAGATGTTACCAACTGATCTTTATTGGGGCCTCAGCTTCTCACCAAACAGCAAAATCACCTGGCTAAGGAATACAGAGTTGTGCATTCAAATTTGCAGTTGACACAAGGTTAGGAGGCACAGCAAATTGTGTAGGTGGGAGCAGAAAGTTACTGAAGGACATAAACAGATTAAGTAACTGGGCAAAACTGTGGCAGATGGAGTTCAATATGGGAAAGTGTGAGGTCATCCATTATGCATCCAAGAAAGACAAACCGGAATAGGTTCTTCATGATGACGAACTGGGAACTGTGGAGGAGAAAAGGGATTTGGGTGTCCATGTACATAAACCTCTAAAAACTAGTCCACAGGTATAGACAGTTATCCAAAGGCTAATGGGATATTGGCCTTTATTTCAAGGGGCTGAAAATGAAAGCTGAGGAAATGATGCTTCAGTTGTACAGAGCCTTGGTCAAAATCCATCGGCACAACAGCATTTAGTTTTGAGCACTGCACCTCAGGAAAGATAGATTGGCCATGGATGGGTACAAACCAGAGGGTTGATGGGTGATCAACCTGAGGTGTTTAAAATGAAAAACTGTCCTGGAAAATGTGGGCATCGACCCCGCTACCTCTCACATGCTAAGCGAAAACATTTCTCTTCAAATCAATGCCATCTGAGCCCTTCTCAATCTCACATCAGCCTCAGCCTCTTCCACAGATCAGGTTATGTTGCTTACTTTATACTGATTTTGTCTGATTCAACACTTATATACCATTTGCTCGTGTCATGTGATGATGATCTCATGATAGTTTCTTATTTATTTTTGGTTAACACCACAAATATTGCAGCATCGTTTTTAATGTTGGAAATACAGTGGTATTGTCCAGCCCATCAATAGAAAACCTAAAAGTGAATTACTGTAATCAAGTAACAAATGTCACAAAAAACTTTGTAACAGCAATACAAACAAGAAATCTGACTAGACAACAGCCATGCTACTTCTCACGTGCTGTACTCCCCACAAGATTAAACACCCACATAGTTGTCCATGAGGACAAATGTTTGTGTGTGATTCACTATCTTCATAGTTTTGTCCCCAAAATTCTTTTGAGCCAGAATTGAACCAGTGACCTAAGGATGACTTGGTTGTCCATTCCACTACAGTCCTCCACTCTACCAGCTGAGCTATTGATGATTTCAACATGAGGCCTGCAAAGCTTTTTGACAAACTTGTTCGTAATTTACAATTCTGCTATTTTGGAAGAATGATGGTAATAGTTACACCTGCAAACAGCTGCATTCAGTGCCTTCTTAGCGCAGTAGGCAGCGCGTCAGTCTCATAATCTGAAGGTCCTGAGTTCAGTCCTCAAGAGAGGGCAAACTTTTGCAAAACACTCCCTTGATTTTCATTCTAGCCCCTCAGTAAAATGTCATCATGCACCATATGACCATCATGTTTAAGCTATACTATCCTGCTTTGTTTCTTCAGGACACAATGTTCAATATTTTCCTTGTGCAGTAGTGAGCAGATAGAAAACTACACTGGAGAATGCAGGCATCGATCCCGCTACCTCTCACATGCTAAGCGAGCGCTCTACCATTTGAGCTAATTCCCCTCTCATACTCACAAGCCTCCAGAAACCAGCACACCAAATCTTAATACACTGATGTGGCAAAGACAAAAACATTTCTCCTCAAATTAATGCTGTCTGCTCTCCTCTCCACCCCACATCAGCCTCAGTCTCTTCCTCAGAACAGGCAATGTTGCTTACTTTGTACCGATTTTGTCTGATTCAAGACTCAACACCATTTTCTCATATCATGTGACCATGTACTTTCAAGGTAGTTTGTGATTTCTTTTTCAGCAACACCACACTTATTGTAGCATCATCTTCAATGTTGGAATACAGTGATATTGTACAGCAATTAAACAGAAAAAACTAAAAGTGAACTGTTGTATTCAAGTAATGTCACAAAAAACTGTGTATAAGAAGAGAGCAAATCTATGAGTGTGATTCTTTAGCTTGATATTGTGCCCCTTAACATCCTTTCGAGCCAGAAATGAACCAGCGACATAAGGATCAAACCTTAAGATGTAGTGACCATGGCAAGACAAACACATTTCTCCTCAAATCAATGCTATCTGAGATCCTTTCCACTCCACGTCAACCACAGCGTGATACTGAAAAACAGGCAACGTTACTTATTTTTATCTGATTCAACACGTAAATAACATTTGCTTGTGTCATGTGACCATGATCCCATGATAGTTTCTGATTTATTTTTCATCAACACCACAAATATTGTAGCATCGTTTTCAGTGTTGGAAATACAGTGATATTATCCAGCCCATCATCAGAAAACCTAAAAGTGAACTGTATTCAATTAACTTCACAAAAAAACTTTACAACTTAGAGCAATACACAGGAGAAATCTGACTAGTCAAAAACTGTGCTACTTCCCACATGCTGTACTCCCCCCAAGGATAGAATACCCACAATGGTTGTCCATGAGGAGGACAAATGTTTGCATCTGATTCTAGCTTGATATTTTGACCCCCAAAATTCCTTAGAGCCGGAATTGAACCAGCGATCTAAGAATGACTTAGTTGTGCATTCCCACTACAGTCCTCCGCTCTCCCAACTGAGCTATTGAAGGTCCCAACACCAGGCCTACAAACGCTTTTTCGCAAATTTGCTCTTCATTTGCAGTCATGCTTCTTGTCAAAAATGATGGTGATAGTTACGGCTGTAAATGGCTGCACTCAGTGCCTTCTTAGCGCAGTAGGCAGCGCGTCAGTCTCATAATCTGAAGGTCCTGAGTTCAATCCTCAGAGAGGGCAAACTTTTACAAATTGCTCTTTATTCTCATTCAAGCCACTGTGTAATTTGACCACCATATTCAGGCTGCATTTTTCCTCCTTTGCTTCTTCAAAACACAATTTTCAATATTTTTCTTGTAGTGCTGCAAAGAACAGATGGAAACTGCACCAGTTATCCTGCTACTTCTCGTAAAGGCATTTGCATGGACAGACAAATTTACATTTTGTGCCTTTTAGGTCAGGAGGATGTCCTGAAGCAAACAGTTTTGATGGGAGAAAATATAATAAGATTCAATTTGTATAGCGCTTTTCACGTCGGGAGGACGTGGACAGTGTACAGCATTTCAGACCCGAGCTGGGGTTAGGGAGGGAGAAGGGAGGGGAGGGGAAGGGGGATGGCTCTCGACTCTCTTCCCCCTCCTCGCTCCCTCCCTTCCCTCCCCTCACCCTGACCATTTCCCCCTCCTTGCTCCCTCCCTTCCCTCACCCTGACCATTTCCCCCCTCCTCGCTCCCTCCCTTCCCTCTCCTCACCTTGACCATTTCCCCCCTGCTCGGGTCATGACCCAACTGTGCAGCGCCTTGGGACGTCCTCCTGACGTGAAAGGCGCTTTATAAATGGAATCTTGTTGTTGTTGTTGAGGGTTTTGAGGTGGGACTTGAAGGAGGCTAAGGAGGGGGAGAGGCAGAGTGATTGGGGGATGGAATTCCAGAGTTTGTAGGCAGAATGGCTGAAGGCAATGGTGGGGCGGGTGAGTCGGGGGACGTGGAGCAGGCCAGAACTGGTTGAGCGGAAGTAGCGGGTGGGTTGGTAGAGGGTTAGGAGGTCGCAGAGGTAGGGTGGGGCGAGGCCATGGAGGGCTTTGTAGGTGAGCACTGGGATCTTGAACTGGATCCTCTGAAGGATAGGGAGCCAATGGAGTCGGGCGAGAGTGGGGGAGATGGGGTCATGGAGTTTGGTGCGGGAGAGGACACGGGCTGCAGAGTTCTAGATTATCTGCAGCAATTGGAGGGAGGAGTTGGGAAAGCTGACAAGCAGGGCGTTTGCAGAGTCAAGCCTGGAGGTGATGAAGGCATGAACAAGAATTTCAGCAGCCTGAGGGCTGAGGTTGTGGCGGAGTCGGGCGATGTTACGGTGGTGAGGGAAGGCAGAACGGGTCATGGCTTGGATGTGGGGAAGAAAAGACAGTTGAGGGTTGAACAAGACACCTAGGTTCCTGACTGGCTTGGTGAGTTGTAGTGTGCAACCATGAAGGTTGATGCTACCAGAGCCTGAGGTGCAGAGGCGCTGGTACGAGCCAATTAGGAGGGCCTTAGTCTTGTTCACATTCAACTGTAGGAAATTTGCCCTCCTCCAGGACTTGATGTCTGACAGGACAGCAGTGGTCCTGGAGTTGAGGATGAAGGCAGAAAGATAGAGTTGGGTGTCATCTGCATACGTGTGGAAGTTGACCCGATGTCTGCGGATGATGTCACCAAGGGGGAGTATATAGATATTGAAGAGGTGGGGACCAAGGACAGAGCCCTGCGGAATGTTGCACAAGACGGTGCGGAGACTAGAGGAGAAACCATTTGTGGAGATAAAGTGCATGCGGTGTGAGAGGTACGATCTGCACCAGTGAAGGTCAGAACCTTGAAGGTTGAGGTGAGAGGAGAGGTGGTGGAGAAGGTTAGAGTAGTCAACGGTGTTGAAGGCAACAGAGAGGTCAAGAAGGACGAGGAGGCAGATGGAGCCCTGGTCGCAGATGGACAGAATGTCATTTGTCACTTTGACCAGGGCTGTTTCTGTGCTGTGGGCGGCACGGAAACCTGATTGGAGGGGTATGTGAAGGGAGTAGTGGGAGGTGAGGGAGCGAAGCTGGGAAAAAACAAGTCGTTCCAGGACCTTGGAGAGGAAAGGGAGGTTGGAGATGGGGGCGGTAGTTTTTTACAACAGTGATGGGTTCAGGGAAGGTTTTTTAAGGATAGGAGTGATGATGGCCATTTTTACCGGGGTGGGAACAGTACCAGTGGACAGGGCTAGGTTTATGATGTGTGTGAGTAGAGGGACAAGGAGGTGGAGAGGTAAGGAAAGGGGTAGGGATGGGGTCGAGGGAGCAGGTGGTTGGTTTCATGCGGATTATAGTAGTGGTGAGAGAGGAGTGGGAGACAGGTTCGAAGGTGTTGAGGATAGGGGCCGGAGTGAGAGGGGGAGCTGGGGTGGGTGTAGTGGATGGAAGGTCAGAGGCAGCTGAGTGGATCCCCTCAACTTTGGATTCGAGGAAGTCCAGCATCACCTCACAGTTGGCATTGGAGGTGAGGATGGGTGTGGTGTGAGAGGGTGGGTGGAGGAGCCTGGAGTTGTCCTTGACCTCCAAGATTGTCTTGGAGTAGAACAACGATTTAGCGGAGGCAAGGGCGGAGCAATATAATTTGATAAGGTCCAGCCAGATCTGCTGATGGACCGTTAAATTTGATTTAAGCCAGGTGCGTTCAGCGGCATGCACCTGTCCTTTGAGGGTGCAAAGGTGGCTGGTGTACCATGGTGATTTACGTGAGTAGGAGACAGTTCGGGAAGTGAGTGAAGCAAGGGAATCAAGAGTGAAGGAGAGTGAGCTGCGGAGAACAGTGACTGAGAAGGATAGGTCATTGCAGGAGGAAGCCCAGGGGTGAAGGAGTTCAAATGACTGCAAGACAGTGAGACAGTGAGACACTGAGTGATCACCAGGTCGAGGGTGTGACTGTGGACATGGTTAGCGGAGTGGAGGTGGAGGGAAAGGTGAAGGGCGGAGATAAGGGAGGAGAAGTCAACAGAGGTAGAGCAGGAGGGGGTGAAATGAAGGTTGAAGTCGCCTAGGATGAGGAGGCATTCGGAGCAGAGGGAGAGGCAAGATAGGAGGGTGGAGATATTGGGGAGGAAGGTGGCGGAAGGCTTGGGGGGGAGCGATAGATGAGGAGAATTTTGAGGGAAAGGTTGGAGGGGTAATAAAGGGTAAGGTACTCAAAGGAGGGGAAGGTTCCAGAGGAGTAAGGAAATAGGCCAAGTGGGGACCAGGAGATTAGAGCCACCCCATCACCATGATGGTTCAGGCTCCGCCACTGTTAAGCATTATGAGACGCTACCTTGCGTGGAGGGCGTTATATAAGTGCACGTTGTTGTTGTTCTGGGGTAAGATGGAAGGTGTAGCCAGGTGGTGTATCAGGGGGAAGGTGTAGCCAGGAGTCTAACTCTATTAACTCCCCCCCTCACATCCATGGGGACCCCCTCGACCAATTGATTACCAGTGGCCTCACCTCCTCGGAAATCACCATCACCAATAAAGCTATCTCGGACCATTATTTTGTCTCTCTTGCCTCTGTCAGTGTTGAATCGGATTGAATCAGTACAAAGCAAACACAACAGCAGCCACAAATGATATTTATGTTGCGCCTTGAATTTCGGAAGGATGTTCCAAAGTACTGGACAAAGGGTTTGCACTCAAACTGGAGGTTGGAATTAAGAGGGTTTTGTGGCAGGGAATTGGATGGAAGAGGCAAGAGAACAAAATAATATTCCAAGATAGTTTTATTGGTGATTGTG